AATTATAATTATACATTTAAATAATATATACAGTATATATATATATATATACTGTATTATAGTCAACATTTGAATAATTCAATAATTTGTTAAAAAATAATCTTTTTTATTTAATACATGTTAAATAAAATAAAAATTATACTATTACATATTGTATTTAAAAGTTTTAAATATTTATCAAATAAAAAAAATCAATATTTTCAATTAAATTTTAATTTAATATAATTAATAATAATAATAAATTTCTATTAATAAGTTTGAAAATTGTAATGATTACTTCTATTTTTGGCCATTTATTAAAATAATTTTTATTATTTATGTAATTAAACATAAACAGATAACTTAATATTTTATCATTTTATTAATATCAACTTTAATTGTAATTTGCACTTAATGTAATCAAATATAACTTAAATAGACTAATAGATAAATCAATAAGTTATCTAAATCAATATATAAATATATAAAGTAGAGTATGAAAGTATTTATTAATAACATTTCTATGTTAGATAAAACTAAAATAATTTATATAATATACTTTATTATTATACATATAATATATTTATAGTAAACTACATACTATTTGAATAAATACAATATAATAATACTGTAGTTAATGTTAATAATTGTAATACAATAAGAATCAAAACAAATACTAAATATATATATTGATTGTATGAATAAATGCAATAAAAAATATTTTAGTAGAAATGCAAATAATTTCAGTCTTAGTTTTTGTTTCATTTATATAATATTAGTCAATATTTTATTATATTAATGAATCTTAACTTTAAAAATAATATGATAAATGTATTTAATATATTGGTATATATTTTAAAACAAAGTGAAATGTTTAGAATAAAAATGATAATTTTTGGTTAAACCATATTATTATATAATATATAATAATATTAATTAAATTAATTTCATAATTTATAATTATGAGTTATTAACTTTAATAATAATTATTATTATTTGTTTATTTTAAATAATTTATTCATTAATTTGTAGTAAATGTCAAATTAAAAATTTTCTAAATCTTTGAATAACAACAACAAAACTTTCTATTAATATAAACGCTTTATACACATTAACTTTTAACAATAATTATTTGATAATTTATATATTAATACATCAATAATTTATTGTTAAAACCGTTAAAAATCCTTTTGAAAAATCAGTTGAATAACAAGTTGTCCAGGCTAACATTTTATTTTTAAAAAATTAAATAGGTTTAATCTATATAAAAATTATTTTTATTGATTGTTTTTTTAATTGATGATAATATATTTAAAATAACTACATATTGTTTTGAAGCAAAAAATAGATATTTATTCTATTTATTTGTTGTATATTATCAATAGTAAGCAAATTTTAATTTAACTTGCTAACAACAAACGTGTGCCATCGGCACAGAGCTAATCAACCAATCAGAATTGATCGAATAAAATTTAAACTATTGTTCATTTTAAAAATTTATCCATATGTTAATAAAGATTTATTGTATGTATGTCTTTGATAAGCAATTATAAAATATGTTTAAATTTTTTCATTTATACTTAGTCACATTTTATAAAATGGGGAAAAATAGTTGAAGATGGTGATAATTAGATCCAATTATCATCTAATGGTAAAAATATCTGGAAATACTAATAGCAAATGTATAATTTTAGATCACAAGCTGATTTAACCATTAAATGATATGATCTATTCCTCAACTTCTTAAGATGATTTTACCATTAGATGATAATATGATCTATTCCTCAACTTCTTAAGATGATTTTACCATTAGATGATAATATGATCTATTCCTCAACTTCTTAAGATGATTTTACCATTAGATGATAATATGATCTATTCCTCAACTTCTTAACCTGATTTTACCATTAGATGATACTTATGGGTTTTGCTAGTATGAGTTAACAATTTATTAATAACTGTGAAACCGTTGAACAATTTAAATAATTACTTAATTCTGATTGGTTTAGTATTAATTCAATATCGCGCGCTATAATAATCGGGAACTAAGGGTAAAAATAGCTATATTTTACAGCTTTAAGAGCAATAGAATAAATATATTATATATTATAATAATATTATATGTATTTGAAACTATTGTTACCATTTTTTTGTGCCAAACTAATTAATTAGTCATAATATTAACTATTAATTATTTTCTTAATTTTAATTCATATGAATTATAATTAATATTTAAATAATATATTAAAATTACATAATTCAAAATTAAATAATGTATATATTTTTATATCATATTTAATTATATTTGTGCTAAATATACGCGTATTTCAAAAGATAGTCGAAGACTATTAACTGTAAGATTACATTAGATATCAAATTTATTGTTTGAAATTTATTTATTTATGTATTTTTATACTATAAATATTAATATATTTTTTCAAATAAATCTCATATTCATCATATTTTATCAATGAAAATCATTTAGTTTATTGTTTATGTGTGAATGCAATAATCAAATAAATATATGTATAAAATTTTAACATTTTTTGGTTATATTGAAATTATATTAGAAAACTTTGTTTTATATATTTCAAAACACAAACCTCTATAATAATTATTGATTTTCTAGAAAAAAGGATCATTAAAACAACAAAAATTACTAATAAAAGTTAATTTTTATTATATATATTTCTATAAAGATAACCTAAATTTTTTATTAATAACTATTCTTTCTATGATTTGATGCTTAAGATAGATAACACCGTATATTATAATTGCTTAAAAATTATAGAAAATAATGAATTTTATTTATTGCGTTAAACACTATAATATATTATAAATAATGTAATAGTAATAAGTTAAAGATGATGATGATATATTAATATAATATTTTGTAAAAAATCAAATAATGTAATTGATTTATTAAAAAACTATTTAATAATTAATATTTAAGTTGTTTATATATATATTGTTTATAATTTTATTAATCTATTGTGTAATTTTATAAACAAATTATCTGTGATTTGTTCCACATTTTGTATGTCGTGACCGCAATTGATCACAACTTTCATTTGTGTAACTCATTGTATAATTAGTGACAATTAAATCAATGAACATTACAATTACAAACAACTAATATCCTTATTCATTGTATTGTCAATTAAGTTGTGTATAAATATACTTAAGTATCACATGTATATATCAATATAAAGTCTAATTAATTGCAATATAAATAACACAATTGTTTAGTAATTTATTTTACAATAAAATCAAAAATATAAATACTAAATATGAAAATACAAATGATAGTTAAAATAATCAATAAGTTCAATATTATTTAATTTTAAAAATTAAACACAATAGATAATAATAATCTAATAATCTAACTGTTCAATTGTGTGTTTAAATATTAGGTCACTTCCTAACATATCCATTGAATTGTATATCTATTTCAATGAAAGATTTGAATAAATTTTATGGTATTTTCTTTGTTTTTATTTTGATATCCGTTTTTAATAAATGTAAAACCAATTTTATTTACAATTGAAAAAATAATATAAATATTAACATACAATATAAAACGTATTTTACATATAGAATATTCTTTAACGATCTTATATAACAAATAAATTAAAATTTTTATGATAAGCAACTTAGTTAATATTTTGTTTTTGTTTATATTTATTATAATTTTATTCAAATTTTACTGATTTTTAAAAATTTATACATTAATGTGTTATCAAAAACTTTCAAACAAAATACAAATAATATTAATTTAATTTAAAGTTCTGTAACAAAATTCTAAACGAATATTTCTTTACTGATATAAATATTTTTAATTTAAATACATAGAAATGTAATTTTTAGTTTTAATTAACTATATATATATATATATATATATTTATCAGGGTTAAGCAAGGTTTTGGATTTTAGGGGTAGGCTAAGGTGAAATTTACAAAATTCTTGAAAAATCTTAGGGGTCTATAGTGGGGTATAGATATTATTGCATTTTTAAACGGCAATTTTTAAAAAATACAAAATCAAGGGGTGTCAAAAGTAAATTCCCTAAAAATTCCTTAAATTCCCGAATATTCCCATAAGTTTTCGTATAAATTCCTAGGAAAATAGATAAATTTCCCAAAAATGCAAAATTATTTTCTATGATTTATTATTTGATTTTATTATTATCGCAAATATAATAATAATCATAATTTAAAGTAATAAAATGCTTCTTATTTTATATTTAATAGTTATTTATTTAGTAATTTTAAGTAATAAAATGCTATTATTACTAAATTTTCATAAATTATAAATCAAAATATAATACAACAAAGCCATTGAATATAAATTATATTTGATATATGGCTATAAACTATTTATTTATCATACAGTATATTACAATACATTTTTAGTTTAAATAAAGTATACAAACATTTTATTTTATATTTGTTTTTATAAAAATAAAAATTATATTGTATTTAACATATAATACTTTATCCGGTTTTTTTGTTTGTTATTCGACCGTAAAGTTCATTACAATTTAAATAATCTATATTAAGACTTACGGAAATAAATAATTATAATTTTAATAATAATAATAATAAGCAATTGTATTAAATATTCACAAAATAATACGTTTATTATATTTTAAGTTTGTTTTAAATAATTTTTTCATCATAATATTCATTATTTATTTACTTATTTATTAACTAAAATATATTTAGACAAACAAATAATGTATTATATAATTTAATTTATGTTGAAATTTGATATTATACTTCTTAAAACAATAAATTTTAAATAAAGAAATCATTATACATTAATATATTAATATTTTTAATTTTATTATAATTAATACAAAGCATATACTGTTTATACATATTTCAAAATTATATTTTCAATGTGTTTTTATTGCTAATCTTCTTTTGTAAACAATTAAAATTAATTGACATTTATAATTGACAATAAATTTTTTAAAGCAACAAATAATCAAAACCAATAACAATCATTATTTAATTAAATTATAAAATAGGATCAAATGGAGTGGCCATCAAATGAAGACTGTTTGTCCTGTTTAGTGATCTATAAATTTAATGGAAAATCCATTAAAAATACAAAAATTGATGTCATTTTTACTAAACTTTTATATAATTAATCTCTATTTATAGAAAATGTTATAATATTTGTCTTATAATACAATTCTGTAATTGAAGTATAATGACATTGAAAATATCATTGTTATGGAAAACTACAATTAAAAGGTATATCAATTAAATGACTTACAATGACATTGCTTTTGGTAATGTCGAGTACGGATGGATCAGTGGTTTTCTGGATAACGATGAATATCGAGGAAGTGTGGCATAAGGATTGGTTGGTTGTATTGGATTGTCTCGATTATCTGCCAGTGCTCGCAGTCGTTGTGTCGCTAAACTAATACATTTGAATTGTTGTAATTGTTCCGGTGTTTCATTCAATTGTTGTCTAATTAGATGTTCTTTATTGTAGAAGAATATACACGTCAACGAAGATATGATCATTGTTGCCATCAATAGTGGTACCAAAAAACATACCATCAAATCCACCAAATAATCTCGTTTGGGAACAGATTGTCGAAACGGTATATAATAACTGTCTTTCACTGACAACTCATCCCTTTTGGTTATGTCAACGGATACATGAATCTCCGGTTTCATGATTACCACTATTGGTTTACTTTGTATTAATTCATCAATTGATTGATCCTTTTATAAATAATATATATATTTATATTTAATGATTAATAATAACATATTTATGTATCATATTTTGTAAATCAATATTATATTTTATAATAAAGTAATAATAAGACCAAATAGCGAGTTATATATTGTACAGTATGTACTGTATTAACTGCTTTACACATTTACCACAAAAAAATAAAATTATTCTATATTTATCTAAAATTAATAGAAACTAAATTATTTTGCTAACTAAATGTCAAAAAATGCAAATTTTATTAAAATATATTTAATATTTTAAATTTAAATTTTTATTTTTATTATTAAAATTTTCAATCATTCAAACTACAAAGCAAATAGAAAATTACTACTAAATATTATATTTTTAAAAATTCATAGTATATTAGTAATGAATATTTTGGTTATTTGAAAAAAGGATTAGCATTTAAAGTGCATATTTGTATACACTTTTAGGATCTCTGTTCACTATTTTGTATTATTGTCGGTCAGTACTCATAAATTTATCAGAGGATTACACAAACACACAAACAAGTCCAGTGCCAGCCATAGAAAGTGACGTTTTTAGCCAACCTTTACTGTCACTGCAAGACATGCAAACAGCCGACACCTTAACCTTTCGGTTCCTACGCCACGAACTTTGGTCATATCATATGACATATACGAACTTTATGTTAATAATTAATACTTGAAGTATTTTATTATTTATACAAAGTAATTAATGCATTAAATTTTGTTTCTGGCAATGCTATCTAGCATTTTCAACTAGATTTTTATTATTTAGAGAATTTTAGAGAATGTATCGGAAAATTTTATTTGACTTCATTTTCTCTCTAAATTTATTTTTAAAAAAATTGTTTATAAATTAATGTGAAAATCCATATTTTACTCAATGCTGTCCACAATTTTTGTCATTTTACTTCACACTGTATTCTCACTCTTATTATTAAAAACCTTTCTTAACCCGGATTTAATAGTAAACATAAGTTTAGTCACTATTTAATACAGTATTTAATAAAACTTTATTTATATTTTATTCATAAGTCATGAATATTAATATCTAATATTAATTTTGTTTATGTTGTTTATACTGTAATAATTAAACTAAAAATATCAAAAGTAACTTTTATGCGTAAATTTATTACATTATAATATTAATATATAACAACTATCAATATATAGTGTTATTCTGTATACTATTTTAAAAGTTAAATTATGCTGATATCCGAAAAATTAATGTTACAACTATTTTATTAATTTTTGTAATATTTCTAAAAATTAATTAATACTGTTTTCATAATTATAATAATTTTTTCATATTTATTATTTAAATTCTTTGTTGTTTTTTATTTATATACTAAATTGTATTTAAAGTATATACAATATGATATAAATTATTACTAGTAAATATAATAGCAAAATTATAAAGCATTAATTATCTGAGTCAAAATCGTAATTTTATATATTAATATTAAAATGTTTATTTATATAAAATATTATTTCATACATTAAAAGCAAAAATAATTTTTTATTAATTTTTATATATTAATGACACAAACATTAATTTAATTGACATTTTGTTTTTATTTGTTTTATTATTTTATAGATATAATAAAGTTAAATAAACAATACATTCATAATAAATTTTGTTAATATAAATAAGCCGTTTATTCTTCAAATGTTTTAAATACAAATAACAATATCATAAATGATATATTTTATATTATTTATTTATAAATATGATTAGTTAGTATAATTGCAAATCATAACTACGTTTTAGTAGACAAACAATACTATATACCGTATTATTGAATATTTTATTATTTAAAATGTTTATAACTAATGTTGCAATAGTTACATTGTAAAATGCTCATTAAAAATTATAATATTAATACTATATTAAATAATATATAAATAATGACTTTTATAATATTAAATTTTATAGTTTACGTTAATATTTATTGTGTTATTTGTTTTTAATGGACTGTAACTTCTCATGTGTTAAGAATAATAATCAATTTCTTTAAAGGTTTTTTTAAATAAAAAATATTTTGAAATATATGTATTATTAGTAATAAATTTTGAAAAACAAAAAAGTTTGTTTGCAATGAATAAACAAAGAATATTCTTGTGGTTTATATAAGCCTCAAGTAATGTCTGGCAAAAGATAATATTTCTTGACTAACAATGTATTAGTGAATATCCATTTTTTAAAGGACAACCATCTCATTAATAAACAACAATTTTAATAGTTTTGACAAAATTGTTACGAAATAAAAAAAACATTTTTAAGCGATTAATAAAAAACAAGAAAAATGTTATTTTTATTAAACAGTAGGGTATATACAGTTTATTCAGACTAGACTTACATTACGTATCAGTTGAAAACTACACCAATCACTATAAAAACCTTTATTTCTGAACATATATTCAGCTGATGTTGCCTTATATTTTCGTGGACATGGATTGCGATTTTTAATACGCTCGACCTCACGTTCCAGGTCTAGGATATCACGTGTATAGTTATCTATACTTCCAATACGCATAATTACACTATAAATTATATCATTAATAAAAATAATAATAATTAAAATTTAATTAATCAATTCTACCCTTCCTTTTCTCGAGGATCTAATGGTAGTCTTTGTCCGACATCTAAAGGTGCGGCTATTTTGGTAATATAAACGTCTTGACTGTCTTTCCATAGTTTATCTTTAAATATTTGCAAGACATCATCAAATCGGTTGTTTTCAAACATGTTATCCAAATTATAATTGACAAACTTTAGCTAAAACAATGTATAAATCCATAAACACGTAATATATAATATTAATCTTATATATGAATAGAAAATGAAATAAATTCGACGAATACCTCGACTTCAAATTTTGCTGTCTCTGTAATAGAAATCAATTTTTATGTTACAATTTTTTTTAATTTTAATTATTAGAAAAATATATCAATAATAATGAGAAATTTATGAATTTATAAGATATAACTTCTATCGATAAACTCAATAATAAAAATATTGTATTTACTAATAAAAAATATATAGGAATATTAACCAAACTTTGCTACCCATGTTAAAAACATCTGTCAATATTTGATGAAAATTAATCAATGAATCATCACTTTTATTATTTCAATGCAATATATATATAATTAAAACATTAATAAGTTTTATATTGAAATCTTTTGTCATAAGACTAATAAACTTATTGGTTATATTTATTTATATACATTGTATATTATACATTATATTTAAATGCAATTAAAATTATTATTTACTGTATCTGTATAATACTGTAGACTGTATCTGAAACTAATTTTATAGGAATATAAAACAGTATTTATCGAAAAATACATTATTATTATTATTACTGTAAGTAATAACATTAATATAATCAATGCATATATAAAAATAATCTGATGGACAATATATGAACTGTTTTAATGGTGTGTTAGCCAACCATTAGGGAATGGGTTGACTAAACATTTATTAACAAATACTGTAAATCTATTTACTTAAACAAATTCATAGAAGTTATAACTTAAATATCATATATATGCCTATTAATAAACATAATTTACTATATTAAGTTAAATTAATTGTTAAACAAGGTAATTTTGTCAACACTATATTTTTACAACATGTACTTTAGAGTGGTATTTCCAATTTAGTTATTTATTAAATCAATTGTTCACATAAACATTTAGTCAATAGTTAGGTAAATATTGTTTTATAATAATAAATACTGTTATTAAATAAGTCATACTGTAATGAAACAATTGTCTAACAATATTGGGCTAAACTTGAATATATGTAACCCATATCGTAATTTAATGTACTATTAATACCATAACGATTATTACAAATGTAGGAGACATACAATTACTTTATTTATATATATTTTCTTATTATTTTGTAAAAAGGGTTAGTTAGGAGTAGATCTGTTAGCTTAGGTTCTGTAGTTTTGTTAGATTAGGTTTTGTAATTTTATTTAATTAATAATTTCGGTTTTATAGTACAAATTAATTAATTAAGTATTAATAATTGTATTTCTCGTGCATTTGTAATAATCGTTATGTAATTAATAGTAAATTAAATTATGAAAAACACGATATGGGTTACATATATTAATTCTGTTCCCAATATTGTTAATATTATGTATAGAAATATATTTATTTAATCTTTACTATTGTTTATGTGTATAAAATAAATATATATCAAAATATTTTATGATATGCTTTTAAAAGTCAAATATTTGATATTTGTTGTAATTCAACTCAATTTCTGTTATACAGTGTCTTACATTGACTCGTGTGTGACATCAAAAATATGATATAAAATTCAAGAAACTAAAACCTTATTTTTTATAAAATGTTATAACTTTACAAAATATCTTTTATATTTCAATATATAACACAAATGATAAGATTCATTGAACTTAATTGACAAACAATTTTTAAAAATAGGATTTTCAAATCAATCAATATTTTCTTTAAATAAGTAGTCAAATACAATATTTGTATATTTGATATATATATATAAATTTCTTCTTAAAATATTATTATATCAATGAATGCCAATTATGATAAAAAGTTCTAATAAGACACAGAGTTTGAAATAATTTATAATAAAAACAACTTAATTAACCAAAATATACTTATACTGTATAATGATTATATGAATTAAAAGATTATTTTTTTTAAAACAAATAATATTATATAACCTATAAATATTGCATTGTCTATAAATTAATATAATACAATACAAATTGTACTTAAATAATAAACTGAATGAATGAAAATATGGGTGATATGTTAAAAATTTTTAAAAATTGCTCAAATTATAAATTCTATGCAAAATATTTGGATTAAAATAATAATAATGAGTACAATATATTGTGAAATACTGTATATAAATATTAATAATAATTTGTTATATACACTACTTTCTCGTTTAATGACCCGAAACTTCATGAAATCTTTAGTGATGTCATAATTGTATTGATTTAAAGCAATCACTTCGATATCAATGTCTCCGTCGTCATTAAGCGCCGGTGAGCCGTATAGGTATGCCCTACCAGTGCTGTTGGGATGCCTAGAATGCATCCAAACAGGCAGATCAGGCATTCCAGCTATTGATGCTATATATTCAATGGAATCTCCCGGTGCTATAGCTTTGTAAAACGTATCACTCGTTATTTGCACAAAAAATGCTTGAGTTGTGTATATATTATAGACATCGGAGACATCTTTCTTGACATATATTTCTATTATCATAAAAACAAAATAAAATATGCCATTAATTTAGACAACAACATAAAATGATCGTAAATCTTAGTTTTAAATTTTTCTCAAATGTGTAATTTAGAAAAATTAATATATATTACTATTTTTCAAAAACATTATATACAAGAATATTCTATTCTTTTAAAATATAAATTCAAACCTTGCGTTTGGACGTAATTATGCAATATTAAGGCAATTGAAATGATTATGATTATGATTAACATTTTACATTTAAACAATTTTTCAATAACTTATAAATTCATTATTATATCAGATTTGCACTCAAAACATGTTATATGATTAACAGCGCAAACGCTTCAAAATATTGTATTATTTATACTATTTATGCAAAAACATTAAACTTTGGATCAAATATCTATTTTTAGATCAATAGTATAGAGTTTAATACATTAAATAATTTATATAATAAGAATATTAAAATACAGTTATCATTTTAATTATAGTAAATATTTATTTCAATATATTATAATTTATTAATTAATTTATAAAATATATTTTATATAAAAAATATATATATTTAAAAATTTGAATTTTATTAATATTTACTTTAAAAAATGACTAATTAAACTTTTTGATCGGATTTTATATTATTTATATCTCTTTTAATTAATTCAAAAACTGATTTTAATTTTCTAATAAAAACATTGATGTCCTCTTTGGTAACTCCGATAGCAGCGGCAGCTGTAATGTAGGAACTATTATCAAGACTGCTATGTGAGCCCCAGTTTTTGAACTCATAACCGCCAATACTCTTATATTTGCCATCAATAGCCACAACTCGTGCTCCAGATATTCCTCTCTTGAAAAGCATTGAACCCAATTCTGTTGTATTCATAGATGTCTTATTGTTGTTGTCGTTGTTGATTATATTGTCGACTGTCATTGCAATTGATATCTGATTTGCTTTACATTCAATGACAGTTGTATTGAAATTATTAGTCAAAAATATCATTTGTTCCTTAAGATAATTGAAGTGATCTTTGCGTTCTTTAAGCAATTTCTTATAGCCATTAATACCTAATTGAAGTAAAGTTATCAATACGTCTAGAGATGAAGTACTGGATCCCCGGCCGGCATAAGTACTGCTAATTTCACCGATAAATTGTTTATTAAAGCCGGCAATTATAGCACCGCCAACGGGAACCATAAAATTTTTGTCTGTGCTCTGAACAAAGGCATCAATTCTACCAACTCTTGAGGCGACTTCCAAAAGGTGAAGACATTTTGTCGATTGCAATCCGTAAGCATTGTTTACTATATGTGGTATATCTTCATTAAGACACAACTTTGAAATCTCTTCTAATGGGTCAGCATTTCGCGGAGCAAAACATGAAGTGGTCGACAATATGCAGACAATTTGGTCACTTCCTAGTTGTTTGACTTTGGCTTCAATAGCAACAAAGTCGGTTTCCAGCGAATTATTGACCAGTAATTTATTGTCAATAATAATAGGTATAAACCCGGCGGTTAAAATGCATTTAAAGCACGATTTCTGGTCAATTCGCGGCCAAATCACGTATTTAGCGTTCGGTCGTTTGTGTCTTAAAGTCAATAAACACAGTGTAAGACTCATACCGGTGGCCATCGGCGTCACAAAACATGAACTAGTATTGGGAACACCTAACTGTTGAATGACGTCCAGTACTAAAGTATTTGTCAATACATTCATAAGACTAGAGCCGATAGCCTTGGGTTGTAATTCGCAGATATCACCGGAACGGCCGATGCCGTGACCGAATCGGTAGTGACGTCGGGCAACCAAAGAACTAGCAATTCTGGCCTCACGTTCACCCAAACCATAGTTGTGTATAAAATTGTTACTATCCATTAACGCCAATCTGTTGACCAACAACTCGATGGTGACCTCATCCCAGCCATCGACGGGACACTTGCGGTGTCGAAACAATTGTCGGATTCGGTTCTCCCGTGTGGTCATTGAGTCAATGGCTGTCTCAGTAACCGACGTCTTCAGCAAATTGTTGACCAATAACTTAAATGTATCGTCCATTTCTTAATTTAGTTAATTATCACAAGAAATAAGTCTTTAAAACAAATATCAATCAAAAGTGTTTTGCAGACAATGTTTTGAGTCATTTAAATACCTGTATATTACTACTAATGTGACAATTCGTCACATTTTTATATATTAAAACATACTATGAGACTATACAGTGAAGTAAGTATTGAATGTACTGTAAAAAAGTACCAATTTATCAGTTTTGTTAAAATACTCAATACATTAACAATATTTTTGTTAAGTTTTTTTTCATTTGACGTTTGTTTTGAAGACCCGATGTTTGTGTCCACTGATTACATGTTTGCCGTAACTCAAGATAATCACCACAATGTTGGATGAATTAGACGAAAACGATTTACCTGTAAGTGAACAGCTGTTTGGTCTTCAGTTGACTTTAGAGAGACAACTATCTGAAGACATTACTGATGTCCGCAAAAGAGATTTGATTTATGAATATTTTGACAAAATATTAGCCGAAAAGGTTAATATCATCGATGACTTTGGTATCGGTATGTGTTTCATAAGTTGTTTATTTTAATAATAATTTTACAAGAGTTGTGAACATATCTTCTTAAACTAATTGTTTCCTTAATTGTCAAAGACATGGATTGGCTGAACGTTGAGATGAGTCTATCTCTTCATCGACACCTCAATGGTCTGATAGTAATAATGGATTTCTTCACTTATTGTTGTATCAATTGTTTGCATATATTGCCAAAACTGACACAAATTGAACGTCACTTTCACTCGGAACCAGTTGTGGTGATTGGCGTACATTCGCCCAAATTTGATAACGAAAAGGACACTACAAATGTGATGGAAGCGATCGTTAGATATCATATCGATCATCCCGTAGTCAATGACCCGATCGCCCACTTATGGTCAGAACTGGGTGTTCAATGTTGGCCAACAGTTCTCATATTAGGTCCAAACTTGCAGTTATTATTCACATTAATAGGCGAAACTGGTGTCAACCAATGGATCCAATTGTATACCGAAAATGCGGTAAAATATTTTGATCATAAAAATCTGTTAATCAAAGAAAACAAATATAAAATTCCAACAAAACTTTTGAGGAATACATTTAATAAACATATATTGGGTTTCCCGTCGAAAGTTAGTTTGTCGCCCAACGGTCACCTGTTGGCCATTTCTAATGCAAGATATCATAATATAATTATTACCACCACTTCTGGATTAATTAGACATAAAATCGGTGGAAATGTTTCGGGATTTAGAAACGGATCCTTTGGTGAAGCTTTGTTTAATGAACCGAATGGTGTGACGTGGAGTGACAATAATACTGTGTTTGTGGCCGATACTGAAAACCATGCGATCCGTGTGATTGATCTCATGAAACGATTTGTTTCCACTTTAGCCGGAAATGGCCGACAATCTGATGATATAATTGGAGGAAAGATAAGCTGTGAACAGGGGTTAAACTCTCCGTGGGATATATGCTATGACGATAGCACTACCGGTAGTTGTTTGTTTATAGCGATGGCCGGCTCTCATCAGATATGGGTGTTAGCTCTCGAGGACAACACGAAGATATTAGACAAATTGTATCCAAAGGGCATGTGTTTGAATTTTGCCGGAGACGGTAGTGAACAAAATCGTAACAATCGGTTTCGACATAAATCCAGTTTTGCACAGCCCTCGGGTCTAGCATTTGATCGCAAAAACAAATATCTTTATGTTGCCGATAGTGAGAGTTCATCCATCAGATGTGTCGATATAACGACCGGTTGTGTGACTGGTGTTGTTGGCGGCGATAAGAATCCGCAGAATTTGTTTGCTTTTGGCGATTGTGACGGAAAGGGGACGGACTGTCGTTTGCAACACTGTTTGGGCATTGCTTTTGATGCAAACACTAACTTATTATTTATTGCCGACAGCTATAATCATAAGGTTTGTGTGCTCTCACATCTCACTTGATTTTAGACTTTTCCATACGATTTCTATTTTAATAATAATTATTAAGAATATATTTTATTAATTCATTTATTTTTATAGTTTTCATAATTAAATTGTTTTTTTTGTTTATTTATAAAATACAGATCAAGAAAATTGATTTATTAACCAAACAATGTATAACTATTGCTGGCAATGGAATCAAAGGAAATACTAGTAATTGTAAACTCAGTGAATGTACTTTCAATGAACCAAACGGTTTGTATTTAATGAGTTCCTCAAACCAGTTGATAGTAACCGATACTAACAATCATTGCGTCAAACTTCTTGATTTGGACAACGATTATGTAACTCAACTTAACTTTATATATCCAACCGATGATAAACTCAGTGTTAATAAACAAATAATTGATAAAAAACCAGATTTTATTGTTAATTTAAATTTAATTGATTTAACTTTAAAAAGTCAATTGAAATTAAAACTAAATTTATTATTTGATCTGCAAATGAAATTAACAACAAATACTCACCAATTTATTTCATTTAAAAATCCAGGTTTTTTAAAAACATTTATTTTATTATAATTTATGAAATATTATTTAATTAATTTATTTTCAGATGAAGACCTGTTTGTCTTATCGCATAAAAGTATCAACAATTTACAGCAATTGAATGATTTTACATTAACCGTCAAAGACATTGATGAAAAACAATTTAGTAATAAAACTTATGTTTTCAAAGTTTTAGTGAAACTTAATGTTTGTAATATTGAAAACAATTATTGCAAACAAATTAATATTGAATTTAATTTACCAATCAATATATGTCTTAAGCAAACTGTTATAAATAATATTATTGATCTTAAATTTAATGTAAGTTAGTATAAAATTTATTTATTGATTATTCATCACTTAAATTTACCTGTATTTATATTTATTATAGTTTTAAATACATTTTTAAAATTATTTTTAATATAACTTAATTTATTAATGTAAAATATTGTGTTTAATTTTAAATTAATAAAATGTATATATTATTATTGTTAATATCTTATGCTATAAAGCAATGATTAAAACCATACCTGTATTATACTGTAGTAAATGCCAAAAGAAAATAACATCAAATTATTTTTTATACAATAATAATAAATACATTTAATAAATATTTAAATCAAAATATATTTCTAAATATGAAAACTAAACAAAATTAATTAAGAAGTAAATATTGTTTAATTATGTCATTTCAAATCATTGTTTATCACAAAAAAATGTTAATATTTATTAAAAATAAACAATGAATGAGTTTGTATAGTATTACTTATTATTTACTAATGTTAGTAATGTTAATAAATGTTAATTAAATATAAAAATTAGTATACAGTATATGAATTAAATATTGTATCACTGAATACCAGTTAGTGATCACTTCATGCGGAGTGTTGTTTCAGAGAACAATGAAAGCATTATAAACAATGTTATTGTTTGGACTAATTATTACATAAAATACAAAAGTAAAAGTATGTAAATGAATGTCACATTTCCAACACATCTCTCAAATATAGATCAAATTATGACCCAATAAGAGTGGATACACCTATTAATTCAATTTTTTAAATGTGGGAACTGTTGGAAGTTCATTGAACACATAAATATAATATATATATATATATATAAAGAAGCGGTCAATTGATCTTGAGCCGCGTATTTTTTGAATAACTTTTAAACGGTTAGAGATAATTTAATTCTGTAAAATACATTTAAGAATATCATATCGACCACATTTAACATACACACAATCACAAAACTAGGATGACCAGATATACAAAATATCGGGACCGACGAAAGACACTATGCTACAGGTCAAACTAAAATTGATAAATTTATTATGATAATGAAAATTTGTAGACAAGAAATAATAGTTTAATATAAAAAAGAATCATCAAACTCGGATTTGTAGTTTTGTTTTTATGGCTTGTTAAGTTTGTCATAAATCCTATTATATAAAATAGTGTAAAATAAAAATGACGTAATTTATGAATATTATATGTTTATTAGATGATATTTTCAAATATATTTCTAATTCTAAAAACGAAATTTTAATAACGACTCGTTTTCGAAATAATCGAATTTCAATATAAATTATAATATCAAATTACAATAGTGTGATTTATATTGAAATTCGAATAATTCGAAAACTAGTCGACATATTAAAATTTCGTTTTTAGAATTAGTAATATATTTGAAAATATCATCTATTATACATATAATATTCATAAATTACGTCATTTTTATTTTTTTATTTTAGACTATTTTATATAATAGGATTTATGACAAACTTAACAAGCAATAAAAACAAAACTACCAATCCGATTTTGATGATTCTTTTTTTATATTAAACTATTATTTCTTGTCTACAAATTTTCATTATCATAATAAATTTGTGAGTTGTAGTTTGACCTGTAGCATAGTGTCTTTAGTTGGTCCCGATATTTTGTATATCTGGTCATCTTAGTTTTTTTGATTGTGTGTATGTTGAGTGTGGTCGATATGATATTTTTAAATGTATTTTACAGAATTAAATTATCTCTAACCGTTTAAAAGTTATTCAAAAAATACGCGGCTCAAGATCAATTGACCGCTTCTTTATATATATATATATATATATATATATATATATATATATATATATATATATATATATATATATATATATTAGTAATCATTTTACAAATTAGGATAAACACGAAAAGTAAAGATGAAATTAATATTAAGTGAAAGATGTAAAGTTAGGTTAAGTATGTTTAAGGATTAGGATACAAATGAAACGGATGTTTTGTCATCAGATAATATATTTATAGTTTTGATGTTTGTTTGTAAAAACCTACTCTATATCCTCATTCAAATTTTAATATACATTTATTGGTGTATCAAAAAAACCTAAATCAAAATCTATGAAAACTTGCGGTTAATGTATTCACATAACCAGTTGTCCGACTTTTTGTTTGTTGTACAGGATATTCACAATTATATATTCAACAAAACTTTTATACAATTTGTGTTATCTTTTTATTTTTTATAAGTTTGTTGTTATTTATAGTCAAACTAAAAGTTAATTTGAAGGCCGTTTTTTAAGCTTATAATTAATTTCTTATATTTTCTAAAAGGAAAGTCTTTGCCATAAAATTGTGTAAACAATTTAAATTTAAAAAAATCATTTTACTATAACATCATGAAATAAATTAAAAATAAAACATTATTTTATTATATTTTAGTAAATATCATTTTTATTGAATTGATTAATAATATTAGGTAATAATAATAATTCTGTATTAATAATAAAGTGAGCATCATAAAATACTTGCAAAATGTATAGAATATTTATAAAATATTTTATTATTTAAAGTTTTTATTTTAATAATTTTACTTTAAAGTGAAAATATTATACCAAACGCTATGCTTAAACACGAGTAAGTAATATTTGATTTATTATTTATGTTTAAAAATTACATATTTAATTAATACTTTCTCTAATAAATGTACTATTTTATGATTTTTATAAATATTCAATTTTAAATAAATAATGTATATTTTGGTTTAAAATATTTTTTTTTATAATTTTATAATTTTTTTTATAAATGTTAATTATTAAATTACAATCATAATTGTATAAAAAATTTGTGTTTTTAAATAAAACTATAATTTTGAATAATGTGAATAATTTTGAACTCTTAAAATTTTCAGATATATTTATATCTTAGTAATGTTTAATTTATTTTATAATATAAGAAATTTTAATTATTATCATTGTGTAACAATTTAATTAAGTTAAAAATCGTAATTTTAAAATAATACAAATCACAAAACTAGTTACAAAAAAAATAATTTTGTTAAATATATTTTTACAAAATATAATATATCTATGCAGTTATATTGTGAATCAATTGAAAGCAATTTTTAAAAATAATATTTATAAAAATTTCCTTAAACTGTAGTGATATGTTAGAGAATTTGCAAAAAAAGTTATTAATTGTGTTTTAGAGTAAATGTAATTAAACAAATATATGCACTTTTAATTTGTAAAACTTTTAAAAATCACCATTATTTTTCATTTTAGTTATTTTAAAAAATGTATAATCATTATAATGTACTTAATTTATTAAGTACTAGTAGTTTGATATTAATTATTATGTTTACTAATCAAAAAATTATTAAATGTTTCAACATACTTACATACATACGTAGATACAGTACTAATAGTATTAATATTTATTAAATACAGTGCTGAATATTTGAATGCATATAAAATTCCCATTTGAATAATACTATTGATATATATATATACACAATATATATATATATAAAAATTATTCATGTATACATCAAGAAATGATAATTAAATTTTTATATTATATTATAATTTTTATATTATATTATAGTTTTTATATTTCAATGTGTTGTGCGAGTGTTAAACAATAAAACAATAACTAAACATAATTTAAATTGTGTGTACTCACAAACTTTACCCAAAATCGTAAATTTATTTTACTTAATAAATACATATTATAAAAAAATAAAACTTAATTTTATATTTTATATAACAATGTATTATATATTGTGTGCGACAGGTGTTCATTAAATCCAATTTTGTATTTATTTTATATATTGTATAAACAGTGACTCAGTTTTCCCTTTTAGCTCTCATTTTAATTTATAGTAATATATAGTAGTTATTATAATAACAAGCAATCTGTCGATTAATAATATTATAAAAATGTATAAACATTTGTGTGTAAAGTACAGTATTTTAAAGTAAATTAAAAATATTGTATTTTATAAAATGCAATTAATAATAATAATAATAATAATAATAATAGTGTATTAGTAAATCATTATACTAATAACTCAAAGCATACATCAAATTATAAATTAACTTTTGTTTTAGTTTTATTAATATTAAAAATTAAACTGCATTAAAAATAAATATATGTTTTAGTAAAATTTTTGCTCTCATTTTTATACTTATATATATATATATATATATATATACATATCATTTTTTATACAAATTAAACTTATATTTTGAAATGGATGTCACGTAAGTTATAATTTGCAAAAATTTTATTTTGTTAATTTTCTATTTAAATTTTCTATTTCTATTAAAATGATTCATATATAATAAAATGACTTTAAAAAATATATTAAACTATTTGCAAGAATATATATGTAATTAATAAAAAGTATGATATATCACGATAATAAAACTTAATGATATTTCATAAATATTTTCTAACTTAACAAATATTAAATGCCTGTATAATGTAGTAAAAATAAACAATATTTTTAATTATTATTAATTACATCTATAGCTAATATAGTAGTTATCATCAATAAGTTCTACATTTTTGCCAATAAATCGTTTCAATTTAAGGACTTTGTATTGTAAAATGAGATCATAATTATTAAAGTTATATACACTATGTTTTATACAATTTTGACAATAATAAAGAAAATTTATAAAAATTTATATCATATAAAACACATTATCAACTAATTTTCAATAGAAAACAAATGTTATTTCAATTATGCATTTATTTCACAGACAATTACAATAAAAAATTGTTGTCAAAGTTTGACAGTCAAACACACAAACTTAAAGTCAATGTATTGTCAAAACTGTTATTCAAATACTAAATAATATAAATTTATGAGAAACGAGACATGCGTTTAGGTTTATATGTGTTTGTTATGGTTTGTCTGTCTGATTATCGCACAGTTAGCTTTTATCTCATAGTTTTCTCACTTAACATCCCATTCCTCATAAAAATAATAACATTATTATCACAATCCTATTGATTTAATTATTATTATATTAAGATTTTACATTTATTGATAAATAATTAGTTATTTAATTTATCAAACATTGAAATATAAAACGTTTTTATACTTTGAATGTAAAGTCATTCAAATATGATAAACAAAATCTCAAACATTTGATACCATTTCTTAAGATTATTGAATGTCTTTTGGTTTTTTAAATATTCAGTAATTTGATTGTAAATAAAATTTAAAAATAGTTTTAAAGTTTATTAATTTTAATTGATATGTTATTTGATTTGATGACAGGTATTGTCAAAACACGAGTTCACTCATCAATCCTTATCGTCGTCCGAGTTATGTGAGGAAGAAGAAGGAATTGATGGCTAATATGACAACAAATATGAACGGCAGTAATGAGGCCAACAAATCGATAACCAATGGGCCGCGTAAGTCAATTGTGGACACAAATGTGTAAATTATTAAATACTTACTGTTATTTTATAATTATATGATATAGCGATGCCGTGGTTTGGTATGGATATCGGCGGAACACTCGTCAAATTAGTATACTTTGAACCGACTGACAAACACATGACACAAATGAACTCGGATTTGGAGACATTGAAGAAAATCAGACACTACTTGAAGAAGAACGCCTCGTACGGCAATACCGGTAAACGTGATGTTCATCTGCAGATGAATAACTGTTGTATTAATGGTCGATACGGGACATTGCATTTCATACGATTTCCGTCAACCGAAATGCCGGTTTTTGTCAAACTGGCCAAATCCAAGGGCATAGCTAACATGGCCAGCACAATATGCGCCACCGGCGGCGGTGCCTTCAAATTTGAGGCCGAATTCAAGAGAGATCTCAATTTAGAGTTACATAAATTTGATGAATTGGATTCACTGATTCACGGAATCCATTACATAGAGGCCTACAATCAACACGAATGTTATTATCTGAGCGATCCGTTAAATGATGATAAGTGTATACGTGTTCCGTACGACTTCAGTCATCCCTATCCTTTCCTTGTGGTTAACATCGGTTCCGGTGTCAGTATTTTGGCCGTCTATTCGCCAGACAAATACAAACGAGTCAGTGGTTCGAGTCTTGGTGGCGGAACTTTTCTCGGCTTATGTGCTTTACTTACCGGTTGTGAAACATTTGAAGACGCGATAGCGTTGGCCGCGAATGGCGACTCCACGAAAGTGGACAAATCAATTCGGGACATTTACGGCGGTGACTATGAAAAGTTCAAACTCAGCGGCAATGTTATTGCCTCGAGGTATGTAATAATATACTAAACCAAAATCCAAACCTAAATCTAAATATTATTGTTTTAATAATATTGTCAACAGTTTTGGCAATATGTGTAGCGCCGAAAAGCGTGACCAGGCCACTCGTGCCGATTTGGCCAGAGCCACATTAGTGACCATTACCAACAATATTGGTTCAATTGCCCGCATGTGTGCAAAGAACGAGGGCATCGAACGTGTGGTATTTGCCGGCAATTTCTTGCGGGTCAACGAAATATCAATGAAGTTATTGGCCTTTGCAATGGATTTCTGGTCAGACGGTACACTCAAAGCCCTGTTTCTCGAACACGAGGGATACTTTGGTGCCGTCGGATGTCTTCTGGAGCTCATGAAGACCAACAGTTAATGTGATCCTTAAAATAAAAACTTAAAACATAACAAAACCAAATCATGATTTTTTTAAACTACAATAATTGTTTTACTCTTCTGTACTTAACGTAGAATACAGTAAATAATATTTTATTTGTAGTTTTTGACCGATCGTAGACTTTCCGCTTTTATTGTTATATAAAGATTTTTTATCATATATTTAAATTCAATATAAAAGTTAATTTTTGAGATATATATTGCAATTAAATAGATATATACAAATAACTTGTAAAACAATTATTAATTACAATTTATAATTGATATATTGTATATTATAAAAAACAATTTGATTTCTCTCTAAAACGTTAAAAATTTTAATGAAAAATGAATTATTTATAGACATCTTTATATATAATTTATCGAAACTTTTTCTATTTTTTATCAGAAAAATTATATAAATAAACTTACGGTAAATTAAAAAAAAATAATTGCAAAAATATGTTTGTGTATTATGAGATATTTATTATTTGCACTCTAATTAAAAATATCTTTAGTTTATTTTACCCTTCATTGAAGGGATAATTTTATGTATTTTATTAATAATTTTAATAATAATAATAGTTATAAAATTTTTAAAAATAATCTAATTGTTCGGAACTTTTGATTGAGTGGTTGTTAGCACTAAAACCACACAATAAAATAAATCCTTACAATTCAGTATTAATTTAATTGAATTATTAATAAATTGGTTGTCTGTTGTCAACTGTTTGCTGTAAAATCAAATCAATAATAATTTATTTAAAAGTCATCCAAATCGTCAAAATCGTCTAAATCGTCGCCTAAGTCTAGTGTCTGAAAATCAACGCGATATCGAAGTATACCTATCATTAAAAACGAACAAAAATTTGTCAAAAATGTGTTTATTGTTTCATTAGACATAGCATTCAATTATAAAGATTTAAAATCAATAAATGCTTTACCAATAAATTTCAAAATTGCTAATTAAAAATATGATAACTGAGCTCAATATAAGTTACATATGTTTTATTTAGTAAAAACAAATACTGTAATAATAATTTAGTTTCAAATATATTAGATGAATAACTAACCTCCTATTCCTCCGAAACCCTTTACATATTGTGAGCCTTCTTGCGATCGATCGGTAATGATTTCAAGAGTGGCGCCAAAATTTTTATAATTATTGGCCAACCATTCCAGTAAAGGCATCGACTCTAACAGTTCCAACTCTACTCCCGTGTCTTTGTCCACGAAATGACTTTTGTCTTTTTCCTGATCGGGTGTCAAATGAAGTATTTTTTCTTCGTTAGTGTTAGCGTTCTTCAGCATAAATCTCATGATATCGAGGTTCTCCCACGCAATCAATATCTCAACGGAACCCATTTCCAGTGCTTTCAGTGTGTCCTCAACACCGAAACAATATTTTCCCGTGTCTTGAGATATTTCATCAAAATAACGACCTGTATTTAACAATAATTATCATTAATAACATAATTCGCGACAATATTCAAAATCTATGGCTAACCGATGAGTTTCTTTTCTTGAATAAACTTGACATTAGACAACACTTCAGCAGATAATTCGATGGCCTGATTGAAGCCATTTTCTCCCCCATAGGAAACATCAACTAATTTTAATACTTTTACTTGTAGTCGCTGTTTGTAAACAAAATACAATTACTATACGATAGTTAAACAAACAATACATCAGTTTTGCAAATTACATACCGGATCAAACATATCTGATTGGTTAAGTTCGGCCTTAAAGTCGGCACTTCCAGCAAGTATTAGACCGGATATGTTTGGTTTGTCGTTAGTTATGAACAATTGTGTGGCCACTTCTGCTACTTTACGAACATAATTATGTCTCTTTTCCATACGAAGTCGAGCAAAACGTAAGGCTGATTGACCTCCACGTCCTAAACAATCAAATTATAATTAATAAAAAATTTAACGAAAAATTGTGTAATAGTGTGAACACAAACCGTGTTTTTTTGGCAAATCAACGGGAAATTTGTGAAGAACTTCTCGGGTATTGCCCTGTAATGTGCCAAATAAGGCGCCGTTACCATCCATTACAATAAAACCAAACTTATTGTCATCGGCTAAAAGTGCGGACAAGGCTTCGGTATGAAATTTGTTATCACAGAGATATAGAGATGTGTTAATTGGTTTAAATGGCTCGAAATCAATGTTCACTTTCTTCTCTTTTCCCTCTTCGGTAACAATTGTTCCGCAATATATGACCAGTCCATTGGGCGGCACCTTTGTGTACAGTTTGAGCCGATGCTGTACGGATGTGATAGCACCTAAAACGGACAATCGATTGACGCGACTCTTGATGTTTGATGCGGTCCCGAACTCGTCGGCCAACATTTTAGACACACGAGATATCTGATCCTTAGGTGGTATTATCAATGATATCATTGACGTACCATTACTACAGTTAATACAAATAAAACATAATTAGACTATTGGTGTCCATCAATTGACCCGTGAATATCATGTCTACCCTCGCGCCGCTTCAAGACTTTTGATAAGTTTCTTGATTTTCCAAATCTCAACATTTCTGTCGGCATTTGATTCTTCAAGACTATAACCCGAAGACATTTTTTAACGGATGACCACTTCAGTTGTCTTACAATCTAATAATTAATTTGTTGTTTAACTTCAATGAATGACAGACAATATGGCTGTTAATTATAATATAAAAATATCTATTAAAACACTGACTGAATGGACAAAACAGATATTTATATATATATTGAATGATATGATAATCAGGTAAACAATAATAACATAAAACCAATTCAAGTGATGTTAAGATCAGGTCTTTATTACTAAAGATAGTGTTTGGCCGACAATACACTTAAAATGTATTAATTATTGAGTTATATATGTATTGAAAACATATAACACATTGCTATACAATGTAATGCAATAATGTATTAATACTTACAACGCGTCACTCGATATGTGCGCCAAACAGTGGAATACAAAACAATTAATAGTATAAATGTATTGATAAAAGGGGAGGAAAAATAAAAGGTTTTCAATTTTGTATATACAGTAAAATGCAATGTACAATGTACTAGGTGTATTTCTAGGTAAGGTGTATTTTGAGCTAACGCTATATTGAATTTTAATGATTAATAAAAATTTAATTAAAAATGACAAATTTTGAGCTAACGCTATATTGAATTTTATTGATTTATAAAAATTTAATTAAAAATGACAAATTTTGAGCTAACGCTATATTGAATTTTAATGATTAATAAAAATTTAATTAAAAATGACAAATTTTGAGCTAACGCTATATTGAATTTTATTGATTTATAAAAATTTAATTAAAAATGACAAATTTTGAGCTAACGCTATATTGAATTTTATTGATTTATAAAAATTTAATTAAAAATGACAAATTTTGAGCTAACGCTATATTGAATTTTAATGATTAATAAAAATTTAATTAAAAATGACAAATTTTGAGCTAACGCTATATTGAATTTTATTGATTTATAAAAATTTAATTAAAAATGACAAATTTTGAGCTAACGCTATATTGAATTTTAATGATTAATAAAAATTTAATTAAAAATGACAAATTTTGAGCTAACGCTATATTGAATTTTATTGATTTATAAAAATTTAATTAAAAATGACAAATTTTGAGCTAACGCTATATTGAATTTTATTGATTTATAAAAATTTAATTAAAAATGACAAATTTTGAGCTAACGCTATATTGAATTTTATTGATTTATAAAAATTTAATTAAAAATGACAAATTTTGAGCTAACGCTATATTGATTTATTTTAATTAAAAATGATTTATAAAAATTTAATTAAAAATGACAAATTTTGAGCTAACGCTATATTGAATTTTAATGATTAATAAAAATTTAATTAAAAATGACAAATTTTGAGCTAACGCTATATTGAATTTTATTGATTTATAAAAATTTAATTAAAAATGACAAATTTTGAGCTAACGCTATATTGAATTTTATTGATTTATAAAAATTTAATTAAAAATGACAAATTTTGAGCTAACGCTATATTGAATTTTATTGATTTATAAAAATTTAATTAAAAATGACAAATTTTGAGCTAACGCTATATTGAATTTTATTGATTTATAAAAATTTAATTAAAAATGACAAATTTTGAGCTAACGCTATATTGAATTTTAATGATTAATAAAAATTTAATTAAAAATGACAAATTTTGAGCTAACGCTATATTGAATTTTATTGATTTATAAAAATTTAATTAAAAATGACAAATTTTGAGCTAACGCTATATTGAATTTTATTGATTTATAAAAATTTAATTAAAAATGACAAATTTTGAGCTAACGCTATATTGAATTTTAATGATTAATAAAAATTTAATTAAAAATGACAAATTTTGAGCTAACGCTATATTGAATTTTAATGATTAATAAAAATTTAATTAAAAATGACAAATTTTGAGCTAACGCTATATTGAAAATTTATAAAAATTTAATTAAAAATGACAAATTTTGAGCTAACGCTATATTGAATTTTAATGATTAATAAAAATTTAATTAAAAATGACAAATTTTGAGCTAACGCTATATTGAATTTTATTGATTTATAAAAATTTAATTAAAAATGACAAATTTTGAGCTAACGCTATATTGAATTTTAATGATTAATAAAAATTTAATTAAAAATGACAAATTTTGAGCTAACGCTATATTGAATTTTAATGATTTATAAAAATTTAATTAAAAATGACAAATTTTGAGCTAACGCTATATTGAATTTTAATGATTAATAAAAATTTAATTAAAAATGACAAATTTTGAGCTAACGCTATATTGAATTTTATTGATTTATAAAAATTTAATTAAAAATGACAAATTTTGAGCTAACGCTATATTGAATTTTAATGATTAATAAAAATTTAATTAAAAATGACAAATTTTGAGCTAACGCTATATTGAATTTTAATGATTTATAAAAATTTAATTAAAAATGACAAATTTTGAGCTAACGCTATATTGAATTTTATTGATTTATAAAAATTTAATTAAAAATGACAAATTTTGAGCTAACGCTATATTGAATTTTATTGATTTATAAAAATTTAATTAAAAATGACAAATTTTGAGCTAACGCTATATTGAATTTTAATGATTAATAAAAATTTAATTAAAAATGACAAATTTTGAGCTAACGCTATATTGAATTTTATTGATTTATAAAAATTTAATTAAAAATGACAAATTTTGAGCTAACGCTATATTGAATTTTATTGATTTATAAAAATTTAATTAAAAATGACAAATTTTGAGCTAACGCTATATTGAATTTTATTGATTTATAAAAATTTAATTAAAAATGACAAATTTTGAGCTAACGCTATATTGAATTTTAATGATTAATAAAAATTTAATTAAAAATGACAAATTTTGAGCTAACGCTATATTGAATTTTATTGATTTATAAAAATTTAATTAAAAATGACAAATTTTGAGCTAACGCTATATTGAATTTTATTGATTTATAAAAATTTAATTAAAAATGACAAATTTTGAGCTAACGCTATATTGAATTTTATTGATTTATAAAAATTTAATTAAAAATGACAAATTTTGAGCTAACGCTATATTGAATTTTAATGATTAATAAAAATTTAATTAAAAATGACAAATTTTGAGCTAACGCTATATTGAATTTTATGATTAATTTTTTGAGCTAACGCTAAAAATTTATAAAAATTTAAAAAAATGACAAATTTTGAGCTAACGCTATATTGAATTTTATTGATTTATAAAAATTTAATTAAAAATGACAAATTTTGAGCTAACGCTATATTGAATTTTATTGATTTATAAAAATTTAATTAAAAATGACAAATTTTGAGCTAACGCTATATTGAATTTTAATGATTAATAAAAATTTAATTAAAAATGACAAATTTTGAGCTAACGCTATATTGAATTTTATTGATTTATAAAAATTTAATTAAAAATGACAAATTTTGAGCTAACGCTATATTGAATTTTAATGATTAATAAAAATTTAATTAAAAATGACAAATTTTGAGCTAACGCTATATTGAATTTTATTGATTTATAAAAATTTAATTAAAAATGACAAATTTTGAGCTAACGCTATATTGAATTTTAATGATTTATAAAAATTTAATTAAAAATGACAAATTTTGAGCTAACGCTATATTGAATTTTAATGATTTATAAAAATTTAATTAAAAATGACAAATTTTGAGCTAACGCTATATTGAATTTTAATGATTAATAAAAATTTAATTAAAAATGACAAATTTTGAGCTAACGCTATATTGAATTTTAATGATTTATAAAAATTTAATTAAAAATGACAAATTTTGAGCTAACGCTATATTGAATTTTATTGATTTATAAAAATTTAATTAAAAATAACAAATTTTGAGCTAACGCTATATTGAATTTTAATGATTTATAAAAATTTAATTAAAAATGACAAATTTTGAGCTAACGCTATATTGAATTTTATTGATTTATAAAAATTTAATTAAAAATGACAAATTTTGAGCTAACGCTATATTGAATTTTATTGATTTATAAAAATTTAATTAAAAATGATTTATTTAAATTTAATTAAAAATGACAAATTTTGAGCAAATTTGAATTTTATTGATTTATAAAAATTTAATTAAAAATGACAAATTTTGAGCTAACGCTATATTGAATTTTAATGATTAATAAAAATTTAATTAAAAATGACAAATTTTGAGCTAACGCTATATTGAATTTTAATGATTTATAAAAATTTAATTAAAAATGACAAATTTTGAGCTAACGCTATATTGAATTTTATTGATTTATAAAAATTTAATTAAAAATGACAAATTTTGAGCTAACGCTATATTGAATTTTAATGATTAATAAAAATTTAATTAAAAATGACAAATTTTGAGCTAACGCTATATTGATTTATAAAAATTTAATGACAAATTTTGAAAAATTAATAAAAATTTAATTAAAAATGACAAATTTTGAGCTAACGCTATATTGAATTTTAATGATTAATAAAAATTTAATTAAAAATGACAAATTTTGAGCTAACGCTATATTGAATTTTAATGATTAATAAAAATTTAATTAAAAATGACAAATTTTGAGCTAACGCTATATTGAATTTTATTGATTTATAAAAATTTAATTAAAAATGACAAATTTTGAGCTAACGCTATATTGAATTTTAATGATTTATAAAAATTTAATTAAAAATGACAAATTTTGAGCTAACGCTATATTGAATTTTATGATTTATAAAAATTTAATTAAAAATGACAAATTTTGAGCTAACGCTATATTGAATTTTATTTTAAAAATGATTATTGAATTTTATTGATTTATAAAAATTTAATTAAAAATGACAAATTTTGAGCTAACGCTATATTGAATTTTATTGATTTATAAAAATTTAATTAAAAATGACAAATTTTGAGCTAACGCTATATTGAATTTTAATGATTTATAAAAATTTAATTAAAAATGACAAATTTTGAGCTAACGCTATATTGAATTTTATTGATTTATAAAAATTTAATTAAAAATGACAAAAAATTTTTAAGCTAACGCTATATTGAATTTTATTGATTTATAAAAATTTAATTAAAAATGACAAATTTTGAGCTAACGCTATATTGAATTTTATTGATTTATAAAAATTTAATTAAAAATGACAAATTTTGAGCTAACGCTATATTGAATTTTAATGATTTATAAAAATTTAATTAAAAATGACAAATTTTGAGCTAACGCTATATTGAATTTTAATGATTTATAAAAATTTAATTAAAAATGACAAATTTTGAGCTAACGCTATATTGAATTTTAATGATTTATAAAAATTTAATTAAAAATGACAAATTTTGAGCTAACGCT